ATAAAACACCAATTAAAAATTATATAATGTAAGTCTAAGGGAAAATGATACTCAACTTAGGGACACTCTTGATGCACCAATTACGTTCGCATCTTGGGGTCTCACTGTATATATATTTTTTCAAGTAAACCTGCATATATTCAACATTTTCCTTTCGTGGCCTTTTCAGTGTTAATTATTAACAGCAAAGTCGTTTTTAGTATCCCTGCCCAATATAGCAATAATGCAATTCAACGCGCTTTATAACGAATTTCTCATCATAACAACGTTGTTTTTCCCGATTTCAACAGCTTCGTTCGAACAAAATTCCCAGAATCTCGTTAGAAAGAAGTACAGTAGTTTTCTTTAGATCCCTGCCCATTAGCCAAAATGCAAAGTCGGTCACTCTACAACGAATTTTTCGTTACAACCAAGCTACTTTTCACTATGGTCCCCCACAATGGCTTCTTTGTAACGAGATTTACAACGAGAAAAAAATGAACAGTTTTAATAAATTGCTCGCCAAATCATGATGCCCATCTCGTCGGCGAGGGCGTAGAAATCCTCAGACTCGTAGATTCCGCCACCCCAGACCCTCATCATGTTCTGATGAGTGTCTCTGACTGCTCCAAGCAAGTGTTTCAGCTGGTCAATCGTCACACGTTCTGGCAGCACATCAGCAGGGATCCAGTTGGAGCCCTTGGAGAACATCCGCACGTTGTTGACGACGAACTCAAAAGTGAGACCTATATTTTTCGGATGAGGGGAAGAGGAGGTCAGAAAAAAATTTTTTAAACTGGGTTTTGAAAAGCAACATTGAAAAGAAAACAAATACTGTACACAATAAACAAGTAAATGATAGCTCAATCAAAATTTCAATTCAATTGATTTCGTTTGCACAGTACCATACTGTAATTATTGGTATACAGGTGGACTCTTTCTAAAAAAAAAAAAAAAAACTCGAGGAATAACCAGAAGAAAATGCATTTTTGAGAGAATTTTGTCGTGGGAAACCCTCATAACATGAAGAGAGAACCCTAATAGACGACGAAAGAAAATCGTTGTTAACAAGATCTTTGTAGAGAGAGAGAGAGAGAGAGAGAGAGAGAGAGAGAGAGAGAGANTGGACATTTGGGGAATTCAATACTGATACCTTTGTACAGTACATAGAAATGTTGGCATTCTCTGTAAGAATAACATTCAAGTGAAGAAGAGAGAGAGAGAGAGAGAGCCCACATTTATTATCTGCCAATTTATTTTTGCTGAAGCAATCTTCAATTGAAAAATATACCCCGAACTCAAAAATAAATAAATAATGCGAACATTCAATTCAGAATCCAATACAGGTGGATTCCCTCTACAACGAAATTTCAAGGGACCAAAAAAAAAGCGTTGTAAAGAGAATTTTGTGGTGAAGACCCCCTTTAAAATGGGGAGGGAATCACATGGAACGGAAAAAAAATGCGTTGTACAGAGAAATTTTTTGTAGACAACATTGTTTGATTTTTCAAAAGACGGCATCAACTAGATTCTCAATTAAGGTGATTCAAAAATTGCAGACTCACCCTCAGCCCCAGGAATAGGTTCTTGCACAAGTTCTGCAGTGCGAAAGCCAATTTTCATCTGTTGTACTGAGCTCTCTTCAGTTGATGAGCCATCCAAGTAAGTCACTTCCAGAGTATAAAGGTTCTGCTCTCCATACCCATTTGGCCACCACAACTTCAAACCCTGCTCCTGTTGTGCAGATAAAGTGTAAAGAACTGAAATTTCAAAAATTTATTTCAATGTTTAAGAAATTTAATCTTGGTTGAAGGAGGACGTAATTTATTTAGAAGTTTCTTTCAAGAAATTTCTTTTTTTCTCAAAATCCGATGAAAAATAGGGCGTGTTCTTCACATAGGTGGGGATACATTTTTCAAATTTTTTTTAGAAGTAAAGGTGTGTGTCACACTTGAAGCTCATGGAAAACTTTTGAAAGGAACTTTTTCTGAAATCAAAACAATGGGAAATGCTTTGAATACATGTTCAAAATTGAATTACAGTGTCCCTTATTTTTAAAAGACAGTAGGTATAAAGATGAGAGTCACTAATAAGGTGTGCGTCTTTCTTGGGGATAGGATTTCATCAAAATGTTACCCCAGTCGTGTTACTTGAGTAAATTCGGCAATTGCTTCGTATTTGGAAAAGCAATTAAAAGTTAGGAGTCAAAACTTATATCATCATACGCGAAATTATTCATAGGTCCAGGAAGGAATCTTGACAATTTTTATAGAGATATTTTTGTGGAATTGTGATTAAATATTGAATTATCAACTGGTTTTTCAATCGTTCCCCATACAATCATGGGAATTAATTGAAATAACTTCACATTTCTTCCGGCTTTGAAATTTAGCGATTTGAAAAGAATTTTAATGCTTGCAAGGGCCAAAAATACTTACAGAAAATCACAGATCACTTCAAAAAGAAGGATTTTCTTATTTGATTTTGGTTTGAAAACTTTTGGCAGAATTTTTTTTCATATCGCCAGAAAAAAATTCACATCTGAAGAAATCAATCTCTGATTTTTATGAGAAAAAATATCACACTTTTTCACAGTTTGACCTTAATCTAAGAAGAAGAAAAAACACCTTTGAGACATTGAAGTTGGCCGCCATAACGACTTCAAAATCCGCAGATGGGGTCACAGATCCTTGCTGAGTTCCCTCCAATTCCAATTCCGGCATTGACCAACGTAATGTACCTGATGGCAAAATATTACACATTATATTATTATCAAGATAGCATATTTAACACAGAAGAGAATACCAAAAAATCATGCTTCCTGGCACCGTAATGCTTTTGACTTCTGATTCTGGGCCAATCACAGGCCTTCAAATAATCAACCAGAGCTGGACTCAAAGTCATACATACGAAAATAAATGATAAATTGTTTCTTTCTTCATAATTCAGTTGCCAGATCAGTCATCAATATCTAGATTTTAAAAACTTCATTTTCTGCATTCACAATGTTCAATTGTTTTCCACATCCCATCATCCAAACTCTCAGTCATTAATTAACATTCATCTTTTGAAGAGTGTGTCTCAGAGTAATTATTGTTCCTAAATTGTCATTACTGGATATGTTCCCTGTGTTTCCAGTATCTTGTCAGGACAAATTGAAATATGCTTTCAAATCTTCTGAACTATAAAATCTTGAAGGGATTGCTGGCCTTGTCCAGGCTGATTCTCATGTTTCAAAATTTTTTCTGCTGGTTTCATCTAAAAAAACAAAGAATTCAATCTCATGTTTGCTGGAGATCTTTTTCCCCTATATACAAACCCTCATTTCCACACTCACTCTGCATGACCTCAGAAGTTGCAGCCTCAAGATGAACACGCAGCTGAACTGTCCAGTCAGATGATTCCACCTCATCTGGCAGCACTGGCGTCATTGACACCTTGACATCCCTGATGACACACGAGCTGAATGCCTCCAGGCGAACGGATTTCCTGGAAAGAAGACATTCCCATCAAGAACCAATTGTTTGCCACTGTACTGAGTGCAACAAATGCGGCCAATTTTGAACTTGCAATAGAACTTCAGCGAAATAATGTCTAAACCTCAACGTTGTCAAAAGAAATCTGTTGTTATTGAGGAAAAAACTTTGCCATTTTAATATGCACTTAAAATGGCAAAATTTGCATAAAAATGCGAATATGTTATTCGCAGAAAAAAAATTAAAATGCATTAAAACTCCGCAACTTTAATACTAATTTGATGGCGTCTGTCTTGATCACCATATTTCCGCAAATGGAAGTACCCTGGATTTTTCATGCAGAAAAATTAAAATACCATTAATAGGCAAAATTACGCACACACATACACACTTACTTTCCTGGTGTTCTGACTTTCCGGGAACCTAAAATTTCAGACTAAACCAGAAAAGGAAAAGCAATGTCACGCAACCCTTACTTTATTACTCCCTTCAGTCAATAAATCATGCATTTCGAAGTGCTAAAAGCTGACCATTTCTCGATTATTTTCAAATTCAATTCCAAAAGAAATAAAGAAAACAGTTTTTCAATTTTTTTGCGGGTCGCCAACAAGAATATTTCCTGATAGATAGACGCATATTCACGCGAAATGCATAAATTTGATTATATTTGTGTATACGGCATATTATATACGGTATTCTGGGGACACATGAGGAAAGAGAAGAGAAATGAAAATGCAATTTGTTATTTTCAAAATGAAGTGAAAGACTGATTGATTCGGCGAAAAAAATAACCAAGTTCAGCTTCCTATAGCTCTGCAGTCAACTGATTTATACCCACCTGTTTCAATCCTAAATGATAACCAACTTCAACTTCCGGTATAATCTTTCACTTTTACCCACAGCAAAAACGCTAGTTCCCTAAAACTCAACAAAAACTCCCTCAGTCAAACATTTTTTGTGGTAAATTTCCTTATCGCGGTTCAATAACGAGGTTTGGCTGTACTGTGCAAAAAAAAGGGGGGAGGGGGTTATTTATTCTCTCACCAGATCCCAACGGAAGGGAACGAAGGTCCCCAGTCCCAAGCAAACGATGCCTGCATTTTCCGAATCATGTTCATGTGACATTCCCCTTGGAATTCCGGTGCCTGACACGCAGGTACGATTCCATAACCCAGCTGGGCCACGTGATCCTCAGCTTGTTTCTGAGCCCACAGCACAGGAGACTCGAACTCGACTCGCAACGTATTCGCACCCACCTTCCAAAAGAAAAAAACCAATCCAAAAACTTCACATACAGTATTATGAAATATTCTCGATAAAACATCTTATGTACAATCGAACTTCGAGGAACCATAAAAAAAACAATTCGAGTTCCGGAGATTTGGAGTTGAGGAAAGCAAACACTTGGATATAAAAATTGCAGGAAATAGTAAATTGGTGATATTCTGGGGCCTTAAATTGCTCCTAAAATCAGTTGAACTTGGCATGAGTTTATTTGTTCAATTAGTCTTTCACTTCCTTTCAAAGCACATCAAGTTACATTTTTATTGCTTTTCTCTTTCCGGCGTCAATAAAATAACAGGCAAACGGCCTCCAGAAAATCCAAGTCTTGTAGGTTTGAAGAAAGAAAACCTTCGACTTGGGTAGGTTTTTAACGCATCGTGTCCGAAGGAAATTTAAGAAATCCATCAGGGACTTGAAAAAAAAAAAAAAAAAAAAAGACACACGGAGGTCTGAGGTATTGAGATCAGAAGGAAATTAAAAAAAACCAAAAGGAAATAAAAAAAAAAAAAAAAAAAAAACGACACACGGAGGTTTGAGTTATTGAGATTCAACAGTTTTATGTTATTCTTCACCTGTAGCATAGGTTTTATGCGAAACACGTGACGAACAAACATGTTGTCGCTGCTTCCGACTTGCTGATCATTCACGAATACAGTGGCAATCGTGTCGAGTCCTTCAAACACCAGCGCCACGTTCTCCTTCTGCATCCATTCAGACTCGACTATAAGGAAACATTTGAGAAATATAGCACGTAGAAATTTGAGAAATAGCATATTATTGACAAGGGATTGTCAGAATGGTTCCATTGTACGTGAACTTATTCATAAAAAAGCCTTACTTTTTCTCCCAAACGCTGCACCCAAAAATCTTTTAATCTGTATACTTTATCAGTCTTCAAGTTTTCCGATTCAAACGCATTTCAATTTGCCTCTTTTTACTGGTCTTTTGAACATGAAGCGTATTTCTGGTAGAACAGTTGCAAATCGATCCTGAAGTAAAAAACATGCTTATCACACACGGTACGGTATACTTACCATCGAAGCTCCTAGAGTAAGTCCAGTTACTCCTTCCCACCCATTTGTACTCGCGATCATTAAATCCGTAGTAAGGATCTCCAATGATTCCACCTCGCTGCAAGTCCGTGTAGATCCCGCCAGGCACAACAGCTGCCACCTGGATCGAACCTGACTCAGAACCAAATCTCACATTACGATTACTCTTCATACGATAATTCAACAATAACCAGCACATGCACAGTATTTCGATCACATTTCGACGAGCTCACCGTCGCCATTTTGAACACTCCAATCCCCGGAATCACTGCCGAGGTCTTGACGAAGGAATTTCCCACTCATTTCGTACTCCGCTAAGCAAACTGTCGTCGCCAATAATACCACCAAAACTGCGAATAGGTCGACAGCGACCACACACCTGTGTACGGGAAACCCCATGACAACGTAATAACGAAGTCGAAGACTGGAATAATGCACGACGAGAGCTGCTAGTTCTTATCTTTTTTAATTAACTCCAGATAAGCTAACCCTCCGGTGTTGTTTAATTCTTAATTGCACTGTATTTTGTCTGATATAGGACGATACGTAGAAGACACCGAGTCGATCCCTGCAACAACAAACGCACGAGTTAATTATTTCGGGTGGTGATGATTAGGAAAAATACCGAAGTTAAAATGGCAGCACAATAACTGGCGACCGACGACAGACACGAAGTTACACCATTAAATCATCTTTTCAGGCAAGCATTCGTAAAAATGAGTTCTTTGTTACAGTATTTTATCCATAAATCTTGTAGTCCCTTCTGGTAACCGAAAAATTTCGAAGTATCGTATCAGTTTTAATGCTATCTTCCGCGAAAGAACAAATCGCAACATTTTCACAAATGATTTCAGAGAATCGAACATTCTAAAAAGAGCCAGAATTTATGTCGACTCCGCCAAAATACATCCTATAACTGTTCCTGTCAAAAGAAAAGGTCACTCTCACCTTTAATCAACTGTCTCGACAAACAGGGACGACGTGTTTCACCAAAAAATTAAAATCAAGGTATGGAATATGAGCCCCAGCATTATTTTCAAGAAGCCTTGTACCGAAAATAAATCCTAATACTGTAGCTTCTCTGGATATAATCCCGAGAAAAGATCTTTTTTTTAACTTGAAGCAACTGTATTCCTTTTTCCCGCAGTCCTCTCGTGTGGATTTCGTGCGTATTTCCATAGAACATTAAGTTCCGTTAATGTTCTATGGAAATACGCTTTCCACCACGAAAGAATGCAAGTAGACATACATTCACACACAAACTTGTCGATCTTACGATTCTTACCTCACGGATTTTTTTCATTTTTCCGAGTAAACACTATACAGTACAATATAACACCACATACACTCACACTACCACACCTGCTCTAAAATTGGGTGCACTTTCTTTCGAAGTTCGAGCTCAGGCTTTACTCCGAAATGTGAAAAAATCCGTGATAGGAATAAAAATTAGATATTCCCTTCCCTGATCTCAATATGTGAGATTACTTTAAAACATAAAATAAATTATAAAAAAAAAGCAGAACCTGCAAGAACTTGTATAAGTTCAAGAATAAATGATTACTGTACCCTGCGCTTCAACTCGCAAGAAATTTAGGATTTAGGTTCCAATCACCTTAGAGTCATAGCAAATTTTGAAACTTACGAGATGAAGTATATTCTGTGTTAGCGTAAACTAGCATCATTTAATACCATGTTCATGCAAGAGCCGTTTAATCATCGGAGAAAAACTTTGTCAGCGGAATGCAATCCCATATCGCACTTCCTTTTCATCCTTCATACGTTCAGCGTGCTTGCAATCCGGAACAGCACTTCATGCAAATAAATTAGACTAGAGCTTCCTCAGTTGAGTGGGTTAAAAACGATCAACGCAATTGCACGAAAGCAAAGTTTGTGACATGAAAACTTGAAAGGAACGACGCACTGTCAATTTGGTTCCTGGAAAAGCGTTCTTCACGAAGAAATCCACTCACTTCCCACTCGTGGAATCAATACACGTTTTCGCGGCCCCGATGTCTAGAATTTTAGCTCTTTTTCCTTTGCAAGACGAACTTGCTGATTTAGCTCACACAAAAGCCTGGGTTAGAACCCAAAAAGCTGATCAGCCATAAAAACTGTATCTCCATCACGAGCAAGCACATCAATGCGCGGACGCAGCTGACACACTTCTGCAACCGCCTGTTGTCGGCATTAGACCGTTACGTCGCCGCAAGTCCTCTGCAAAAATTGGCTTCAGAATATACAGGAATGTTGATTCTTAGTCACACTAATCGGGTACTTCCTTGTTCAACTTGCCCACCTTTTCTCAAGATGAAGACATCAAAACTGAGTTAGTTCAAACACTTCGAACACCAAATGTATCCCACTGCCTGTTAACAAAGTATACCCCACTCACTCAAGTACCACACACCATTCAGCAAGACGCACACCTCAACATTTTTTTGGGATAGAATTTGAAAAAACCCCAACATTGCATATGCTGAACCCCAAAAATTGTTGCTGGCACAAAGATTTTATAAATCATCATTTTTAACTACATCATGTGAATAATCATGACCTCAAGCAATATAAGAGGATAAATAACGAGCAGAATTTTGTGATGCTTACTTTCTCATTCAAGGAATCACTTATGACTAGCACAACAGGTTTCATGATTTAATTTTATTTAAAAAATGTATAACTGCATACCACACAGTCCTCTCTAGCGAATCAATTTTGCAGAAAAAGGTACACGTAGTATTACTCAGGGAAATATGATACTAGTCCAATTTAGAACCAGGTTGAACAATATAACCACTCATGCAAAATGGCATTAGCGTATCTTGAGAGGCACTTTTTCAGTTGTAATGGCCTCAACATTTAATATGAACAAGAAATTTCGAAGACTAACCGGAATCCGAATCAAGAGCAGCTATCTTGAATTCAAATAAGCACTTGAACGGCAACCACTTCGGCAGTTAATCAATTATCGACAAACCAATCTTAACTCGCTCTCCGCAACCCTCAAACCTTCGAAGCATTTCGAAATTGACCTATAACTGAGGGGGCACATTCAACAAGGAAGAACCCAGAACTACACCCTTCGTGACAACAGAGAACCCTTTCTGAACATAAATAGAACGAATACGGTATCTGAAAAAACCGGAATTTCTTTCTGAAATCTCCACGGAGTACAAGAATACATCAGGCATCGTGTATAGAGCGAATAAAAACATGAATAAATTCGGCACGTAGGGGTAAAGCTAATCTTTCAAGGGATTTGAAGGTCAGCTAGCAGTTAAAGAAAGTCGACCACTTTCCAAGTAAAAAAAAAGCGGGAAGAATACGAGATCCATCAAGATACATTGAAACTTCCTCCACATGATCACAGCACTGACCTCAGCAAATAAAGTGGCTTTCATCCGACCTTACGTAATGAAATCCACCAACACCTGCACATCGATACACGAAGGGCACCGAAAAAAAAAAACATATCTGAAGCTGTTCCTCTGACAAGGTACTTCCTTGCGACTAAAGCGCAGCAGACAAGACAATGTTTACACAACCAACTTATTGGTCACGTTCAAAAAAAAAAAAAGGTCACGATTAAAACAAAAGGGATGATCATCTATCAACAAGAGCGTCTGGACTGACGGGTTTGCAATCAGTTTCCAACACAATTTCCTCGGCCTCTGCCTTGAATTTGTTCTCTTCATGAGACTCTTCGTGAACATCGTCCACAGCTTCGGATTTCTCAACTTCAGGGTTCTGCTCAACGGGATTCTCGAAAAGCTCGTCGGCCGTCTCAGTCTTCAGTGGGATTTGCACACTTTCGTCCATCTTCTCGCTGTTTTCGTTCATCACTTCCACCTTCGGTTCTTCCGCGACGATTTCTTCCTTGACTGCCACAGTAATTTCGGTTTTAACCGATTTCTCCTTTTTCGACACTTCCCCGTCTTCCGATGTGCTTTGATTCCTCACTCGATCCGCGGAAACAATGGAATCATCGTCTCGATGCGTTAGGAAAGTTTCCTCGAGGAGTTCCCAAATTTTGGCACCGTTTTCTGAGTCTTGCATGAGCTTCGGCTTCAGGGATGCCTTAAAAGACCCAAATATTTTTTTCTCAAGTTTCAACTTCGTTGGAAAACTCAGACTCACCTCCATTTTGTCCCAGTAAGTCTGTTCATCGCGATACAGGCTCGACATATCCACGCAGATCTCTGAACTCCGGTAATAATCAAGCAATAGCTTCTGCAATGCATAAATACATGAAATATGATTTTTTTAAATACCGCTTTTACGCGAAGACAGATATTTCGAAAAACATGCCTAAACACGAACTCATTAGGTGGTTCAAAAAGATGCCCTTTTCAAGTGTGTTGATCCCATCATTTCACAGAACATCTTACCAATGAGGCTAAAATTCAAGAAAGATCCAACCAGAATAGCGTAATGTTCTGCGAAGAAAAATCGATGATTCGAAGCGTAGATGCAAGGAAGAATATTTTTAGAAGTTACTTTTTCCAAAGTGACGCAAAGAAAGAAATAACAGTTGCAGTCAATAAACAGTAAAATCTCACTACAACGAACTTTCGGGGACTTCAGAAGGAAGTATGATATAATGAATAATTGTTTATAAGATTTTCAAGATGAATGGATGAAATAAGATTTACATCAGACCTGCTTATTATCCATTAGATCTTGCTCTTCTGGCATTCTTACATTTCTTATCACCGCTTGAAAAACTGAGTGATCTACTGAAAAAAAAAAATACTGTGGCTTTAATCACGCATTGCATCAGTTGTACCAGACTCTTCATTGACGAGTGGAACCACTAGGAAGCATGTTTTTCATTGATTAAAGCTGCCATCCATGCTACACGGACCAGTCAATCACATTTGGGATCGAAAATTTCAGAATGTGCCAGCCTCAAGCCAGGAAATTTCTACCTGGAGTATCGATTAAACATTCCTAGAAGAAGCTTGTCATGAACATATTTTTTTGACACGTACTCTGTGGGTTTTCTGTCGGGACTTGAGAAGTAGCTTGTTCCATTAAAAAATGCGTTGTAACGAGATTTTACTGTAATTCGAATAACGGCGAAGAAATCCTCAACATTTTGCGATCAGACAGAACATTATTTGATTTACACAATTTTCATCACGAAGTTTTGGGCAGATATGAGGGTAAATGACCTCTTCCGTCTCATTTTCAATAACTTAGAACTACACTGATAATTGTCACTTACAGTGTCTTTGAGATCTTTCTGTGACAATGGGGGATCGGGAGACGCTGAATACTCCATCAGCATTGGACAAGGATACTCCAACGGTCTGGATTCAGGAGGCGGCACAACCCAGTAACAGCTGAACATTGTCTCCAGACTGGACGAATCATTGCTGAACGGGGCTGCAAGTACACACATAAATGTCAATCACTTTGCATCGAACACCACTGATTGAATATCATACTCACTGGTGATTATGCCCACACAAGGAATGTAAGAGGCGTCTGAACTTCCTTTCATCTTTATTTGATAATCCAGCTGAGCATCTATGTCAGGAATGGACGGATACGGAGAATACTTCGGATGCGAATGATACCATCCTGTACATCAAACATCAAAACAATGAAAACAAGGAATACAAAATTAAGAAAGGACAACACGTGAAACTCACCGACAAGAGTATAGTTGGCTTCCTGCATAGCACAAGCAATGTCGTACTCGACCAACGGGGCATTTTCACTATCTCCGAAAGGACAGCAGCAAGGGAAAGCTGCTTTGATAGATAGTGCTGAAATTTCCGGAAATTCAAAACCATTACAAATACGTACCGAAAGGTTGGGGTCCACCCTTAATTGATTCGCAAGTTAAACGTGAAGATCTCCGTTCGGATCAGAACATCGGAACATTGAAGCATACATTGTGAATTTCAATTTCGTTCGAATTCCAGCAAACGATAAGCAATTCAAAATGATCATTAAAGTCGATCAGGAATTTTAAAAGTTCTCATTACGCTAATCAAACTCCCGTTTCCTTCCCAGAATTGTAGGAATGAACAGTTTCTTTGACATGACGCTCACGCATGAAAATACACTTCTTTAAGCACAGTTTCCAGCCTTCAGTACGAAAAAGGTACGTAAATAAGTACTGTAACAAACTAAAGAAGAAACATCACATACTTTTAGTTGTCATGCAGTACTGCAATTAGCGAACATATTTCTCAAATTAATGTAGGTCATAATTTTGCTGCTGATTAAGAAGGCTTTTAAAATACAGTCAAACCTCTTCAAGACGAATTCGAAGGGAACAGCAACAAATTCGAGTGAGTGAGGTTTTGAGTTGGGGAAAACGCAAGAATTACGAGAAATTATACTTGGCGATACTCTGGTCTGCCAATTGCTTCTTAAATGAATAGGAAGGATGCTGAACGCCAAAATATGGATTAGTTTGCTCGATTAAGCTTTCACATCCTTCCAGTTCCAGAACAAATCGTTACATTCGTAATGCTCTTCTTTCTGTGTGAATAAAATAAGTGCCAAAAGGCCTCGAGAAAATTCGAGATTTGGAGGTTTAAGGGGGAAAGCCTTGGGGTGAAGATTTTGAATTACTGTATCTATATCTCAGGGAATTCAGACAAGAAAATCGAGAAAAATCTGACACAGGGAAATTCGAGTTGACGCTGTTCAGCTGTATTTTACGAAAAAATCCAGCGCTCTGATCCCTGTAACCCCTTACGCGTTGTTTGAAAACAGTTCAGAGCTTCGAGATTTCTTCCACAGATTTTTTTACTCACTGTGAGAATTGACATCCCATGTGCCACCCAGGTACCCCGTCACCTCCGTGGTGGTGAGAGAAGAATGCAGATCTATCATGAAGAATGCCCCAACAGACAAGCTGACATTGAATGGCTGTAACTTGCCAATTCGACTAAATGGGTAGCACTTGACCAAAAGATTGCTGTCCCTAAAAAAAAAGCATGATGTAAGAAAATCGGATGAACACAAATAAATGTGGGTACTCACACTTCATTATTATATCGCAGACCTAAACTTTCATGGCGTATCACTTGCCGCTTTCCGAATCCTGATGAATTATCTGTCAACAAATTTCAATTCATATCTTGCCAACATTTTCACGCGGTAATCATTCGAAAAATACCTGATTCGCCTTTCAGATGCGCGTTCTTTTTCATTTCGAACCACAGCTTCTTGTAATGTTCCAAGTCTTTTCCTTTGTACAAAAGTTGCTAAAAGATACACGAGCCAGAATGTAATGCGGTTACTTCATGTGATGAACTACAAGAAATACTAACTGAACACCAGCTTAGGCCATCAGGAGGTTTGAAATTCGGATCTACCGAACGCAGCTTCCAAATCGCCCAGGCAGTTGCAGAATCATGCATCTTTTCGGTTTCCTTATCTTGCGTTGAGCCATCTTTGAATAAGTGCGCTTTGTAGCATTTCCCCTGTGAAGTGAACAACGCCTTTCCAGAGTCCAATCAAGAAATGTACGGAAAATCACTTTGAACTCACCTCAACTTCCACAGAAAGTACCGCAGTTCCAGGACGAATAACCGAATCTCGAAGCAACATTTCAAGGGAAACGCCACGACCGGTTGGTGGGGCTGCCTTCACTGCTTGATCGTTAGCGAACTCTAATCCACACTCAGTTGAAAGATTGTGCTTCGTCGACGCGTCGGCATTTTCCAACGTGTCATCGGGTTTCTCGCCTTCGTTGTCTTCCGCCCCGTTTTCTTGACTTTTAACCGCTTCATCCGCACTGACGCTACTGGTTTTGGTTCCATCTGAATCCACGTCGATATCTTCACCGTTGCTCTCGATTGGATCCCCGGCGTTTCGCACCAGGCTAGGAATGGTGCCGTTTTCAATCAAAACCATTCCAGAGCTGGTAAATTCACCGATTTTACCAATAGCAATCACATCTGGACTTGGTAAAAGCCTACAGGAAGAAAACGAAGATGCTCTCACATCTTGGAGCGCACACTAACACGGATATGCATTCAATGAGCGTTACGGTACGCAAAGTCTGCGGACGTGTCGACGTTCTCTAATAGACTTGAGCAATTTTCATCGAACAAATGTCAGCGGCTTCTAATCGGGGATTATCTGTTACGGAATGATCGAGAAGATAAACTGGATTGTGCACCATGTTCTTCCCACATTCACGTCAGCGCAACCCCGAACTGCACTGCACGAAGAGTTCCTCCAATTCTTCACGACAGTCAAAGATACCGTTGGGACTTCGTCTTTAAAAATTACCTCACTTGAACTATGTTACACCGATGTAATTGAGGAAACGTGACATAGGGCCTGTGACTACGTTTCCGAAAGAATTCCTTCAAAAATACAAAGCTGGTATCACGAATCACAAGATTAGGCACCCGTTACGAACAGCCTACTCAGCGTGAGAAGATTTTCCGGCGCAGTAAACCCACACTCCCCCGATTAGGTTCCTTGCCGGCCACCTCATCGCGAAGGTCGTCAGCAAGAGTCCACACGAACGATTTTAGATACGAAAACAGTGGGAACGCGTGACCATTCATACGGCGAACGCTTCCGGAACCATTCATCTGAACTTTACCGGAATCAGATGAATGTGCCCACGAAAACGGCCATGTTCCCATTAAACAAACTATTCGAAGATGCCATTCTGGATTATTGAGGGTGGTCTGGTGCCCAATGACATCTAACGTCAAACGTAAGAAAATTACTCAACAGGGTAATTTGTGACACGCATCGAATGTTATCTTCAGCCTGGTTAGAAAATTTTCACCTACATGATGGTTAAAGATGGTGTGCAATATTGCCTCTTTGTCTTTGCGAGAAAATTAAGTTGGAAATTGTATCTCTTGTTCCTCAGTGATTTGAGAAGTTTAAACAAAGTTTGAATTTCGACAGCCTATAATAAATGCATCATATGGTTTCCAGTATTGTATTATGATGTAAGACAGCTGTACAAATACGTTGCTGAATACTGTATGCATCTTATAAGGTTGACCCCAGTTAATTGCTGATGCTGGGGTTCGTTGAAAAAATTCGATTTCCTACACGGCACTTCAATGGAAAACAAAGTACAGTACCTCATTCCATGCAAATATGAAAAAGACATTAGAATTGACATCATCTTCTTATTAGCACTCCTGTACATGCAGGCATAATCATTTAATATCATCAGCACTTAATTTTTTCATATGGTTATAGGGCTGCTTATCTTTTCATGAAATAGCAGCAGTCTTGTGCAATAAGGGAGCATATTAAAGTCTCTCTATCTAATGTGCATTGATTCCGTCGCAACAGCTTTATAGTTATCTTTGTACAAAATAATATTTAGTCCGATTATACCCAATATACAAGGGTCTCTTACACATCACATAATGCTAGAGAATACACTTAAATTACTTAATATGCTTAAATTTTTCTGGTTGCTTGAATTTTGTTGTAGAGAGGGTTCCCATTACTGCAACAGCAGCATTGCATGATTCGTATAATCCTACCCAGTAGAAAAGCTAAAAATTCTTCTGAACTTTCATCATCAGGACATTGATTTGGTTTGTTCCAACTCTTCCACTTTTCAAAACAGACATTTTCACATTCTTTCCTCCGACATGTTGTACACAAATATCTTATACTGAACAGTATTTGCAAGGAAAATTTAGCCAAAGCTGAATAGTTATCCTTAACTGCAAGAAACTGTTGGCTGTGGTGCAGCACAGCAATTTTTTATAAGAGCACACATGTACAGCAGCCCACAAGAAAGTAGAAAAAGCAAGGAATAAAAACAAATACAAAGCATGACACATCAAATAAAAATCAACAATTTTTAAACAATTCCATGGTGCCTGAAATGCTGCAGTTCATGCCCGAGTGATTTTACTTCATGGCTTCCTCGCACTGTATTAACTCATCAATCAAGAAGCATCACACAATCCTTAGTTGACAAAATATTCTTATTTATCGCACTAGACGTCCGCGAATGTGATCAATGCCTCGAAACAGGTAATCGAAAAATTTCTCGATCCAATTTCACCTAAGCACCAGTTGAATCAAGATACTCAATAAACGAAGGACTTACCACGTTTAATCTTAGGGGCATCTGTTGAAAATATGATTCAACCATCGGATTTTCTCCAACGAACGTTTTGGTTCCTGCAAATATCATCTGACTTGAATCCCATTTTAAAACCTTGACATCAGCCTTCCACGATAGGAAACTATAGTCCGAGCATGATATGCATGGAACAGTTTAATTTGCAAAAATGACAAGTACATTCGTATAGAATAGATGCAGAAGCGCACTCATATTCGAATCATGATAACAACTTCAAGAAACAGCACATCTTTGAACAGAATTCATCGTTCATTTTATTTCCTCCCAAAGAAAAACTGAATCCGCCCGGTTCACTTGCACCCGTACGAGCGGATGATCTTCTGATGAGGAGCAAGCGCGTGCGCAATCTTCTTCCTTGCCAGCAACATCGCCTTCTGCTCAAAGATTGAAACAAACATCAGCGATGCACATATAGCTTTTGACGAGTTCAATTTCGAAAAATTTCTTCAGGTTCTACGACTGGTGAAAGCGTTGGAAACGATCAAATATTCACAGCCGATGCGTAATTTTTAGGCGTATGATAAACTTCCATCAGTGTATCTACATTCCGCATAGGAAAGAGGGGAATAAAAATAAACTCACGTGTTTGAAGCGATCCTCCTTGGCGTACAGCGAACCTTTCATACGTCTCTTGATTTCGAGTGATCGGATGACTTGCTGGTACTTCCAGCCGACTTCATGGCTCAGGCGTCCAAGGTAACACCACTGAAAAACGACAGGGAATGAATTTCATAACCGAAAAGGTAATTCGGCGCTGCGATGCGTTCCTACACTAAAGAAGAATTGGTGAAATTCGGATATGCAGTCCACAACAAAAGCTCTGAACCGATCAGGCGAGCTCGTTTCTTAACCGATCTCGAATAATCAAGGCCTCACCACACGTTTTACGTGGTTCAGCACGTGAACCTAGCCATACTTTTCAGTGCATGAGAGAACAGTACTCCACAATTACTGTACAGTACTTTCATTTCCTGGCCCGAATAAGATCTCGAGACTTCACTCAGAACAATGCGTGAAACTCTTCTTCGGTCCACTAGATGTAGTTTGCACTGCACAACGAAACAAAAGAGCTTTTCGAACAGAAAACAGCTACTTTAAAAGCAAGTTGTAATGCAAAATACGAACAGATTTCGCGACTCAAAAGTCACGAATAATCCTCGAAGTATGTACAGTATACGTGCACAACTATCCACGTCAATTCTCCAATCATTGCCGAAAAAACGGGCCATAAAAAACCGCGTCACGAATATCACGATTGAAAAAACACCGTTCACATCGAAAAATCCGCGGAGGACAAGAGTAATGTTCTCTCAACAATCTCTCTCTTTAAGGCACCTCTCAGAAAGTTCTCTTCAATCATGCCATGCAAATTGTGGATCACAACATTTTGTGATAGACAGCACACGCTGAAGTTATTCTTTTTCCTCCATGGAATCGATTGAAGAGAGCTAGTAAATCGCGCGATAAAAATAAAAGAGACGGCACTAATTTCAAAATCACGCTACACGGAGTAGCACGAACGATGTTGACACAATGGAGAACTTCCGAAGAGAATTCGCGATCGACGAAGACCATCAAAAGAGATATAATCAGTACATACCTTGCGGCCCTTACGAAGACGAACAACACGCATGGCGTTCGGACAACGGACGCGCTTAAGCTTAGAGTACTTCGGCGGGATTCCTTCAACCGCCATTAAGCGCTTCAGCGCCAACTTTCCGCGAGATGTCTTGTGCGGGATCATGCCACGGACAGTTCGCCAGAAGATCATGCTAGGCGCTCGGAAATGGAACGGGCCACGGGCAGGATTCACATTGCAACGCTTGCGTAGGAAAGCCAAGTATTTCAGTTTATTTCTGAAAAACAGTTCACAAAAGATTGATAGGGGAACTTCAACAAATATGTCTTGAATCCGTTGGGATCTGCAGGTGCTTGAGCTACTGCATTACCTGAAGAAGTTTCCAGAAATATTAATTCTTTCGCAGCTCACGACGACGATCTTTTGACCGTTCAACAGGTGCTTCGCCACTATGGCAGCAAGTCGGCCGAGGAGATGGCCCTGTCCATCAATGATGATGGGCTGCGGATTGTGAAGAACGCGTCTAGAAAAGCACCAGTGTAAATGTCATATAAAACATACCTTCAGGGTCATGCCAGTCATGATGCACAGGAATGGCTAACTCTCCTACCACCTGCAACTAAAATGAGACAAATATAAAGAGAAAAATCTTCTACAATGTTTGACGCCGAAAGATCAGTAATCTGCATCTTCAGGTACAACGCGTACAACAATAGATATGCCAAGCCGAACAACGTGCTTTTCTCCAAATTCCACCACGAATTGCACGCGTCACAAGATTATTACAACTACAACACTTCTGGATCAAGGCGCGCGGTTCGTGGAGTAGTATCCGATTAACCGGAATCACATAAGGACATAGCTATATTTCCGAAATTATGCTACAGTATTAGCCTTACAACAGACAATCTCAACACAAGGCTCCACTCCGGGATCTCTTCGCGAATCGTAATGTCATGCAGTTGATTCGAGTTCAATAAAATACCGTACTTGACCGATGTACGTTAGCGGGCATAGTCTTGAGGAAGAACGAGTCAAGTAATGGTACTGTAAATACCTAGGAAATTACTGCAGGCCGGAATTCACGTAAATTGTGTGAACCATCCGAAAGTGACCCAGGAAAATTTCACGAAGAATCATCGGGTCTCCTAGATAGGGCATAATTTCATTCAAAAAGGCATATCAAAATTACACCTTTACTTTACAGTACTGTCGCTCTGTCCAACTCACCCAACTGAAATTAGTCTATGGTTCAATGGATCGGCACTATACCAAATCCTCGGATGGGATTTCCGCGGAAGCATATTGGCGATGAACACTTCTGCAACAGTTCCCTTCGTGGGAGATTACTTTTATGCAAGGCGACGTTTTCTTCTTGCTGGAAGAAATATGCAATTGTACTTGCTCATATCTCTATACATACCCTGGTAAAAATAAACTAACTTGCAGTCTTCCTATTTACGATGCATGCAGACATCATCGCATCGTTTATATCAGTAAACAGTTTGTGTTGTACGACATATTAAAAATTGAAACATATCGTACTGCAGTACGATATGTTTCAATTTTTAATATGTCGTACATTGGTGCTCTGCTGTCCATGGACAGCAGGGGCACATACATTTTCCCGACTCGGGAGTTTCCGACGCCCCGCAAGCAGTAACTTGGCTCCCCCCCGCTGGCGTACCCCCTCCCGGACCTGGGGCTTTCCTTGGGTGACGTTCCCTTGTCCATATGCTGAACAAGGGAACCAACGTTATGAGCCTCTCCGGGAAGATGCCAGAGGGAGCTTATTATCTCAAAGATGGTGATTGTCCATGGTTAAATGTTCATATGCTGAACAAGGGAATGCAGGTTTTGAGCCTCTCTGGGAAGATGTCAGAGTGCAGAGGGATCTTATAATCTGAAAGCTGGAGGTTTTTGTAAATCCTGCACATTTTCATTCATTATTGGAGGGTGTTGTTCATGACAAAGTTTTGCAATGCTTATAACCTATAACCTAACCTAACAACCTAACCTAACCTAACCTAACAACCTAACCTAACCTATCAACCTAACTTAACAACCTAACCTAACCTAACAACCTAATCTAACCTAACAACCTAACCTAACCTAACCAAACAATCTAACCTAACCTAAGCTAATTTAACCTAACCTAACCTAACTTAACCTAACCTAAGCTAACCCCCTCCAATAATGAAAATATCAGAATGAACAAATAATGAAAGTGGACCAAACTGGTATCCCTTATGCTTTTCAGGATTTTAACAAGGGAACGTCACCCAAGGAAAGACCCAGGTCCGGGAGGGGTACGCCAGCGGGGCGGAGCCAAGTTACTGCTTGCGGGGCGTCGGAAACTCCCGAGTGGGGAATATGTGCGGGCCCTGTATGAATGCAGTATTGAAGGAATGCTTAATGGATGTAGGATGAGTTTAACTTTTTTTTTTTGAAATGGCGGACGTAAGAAAGTGCCACCGACAGATTCCTTTTGGTTAGCAGAAATATAACCTGAACAACTGCCATCAGAAGATTGCGAAGAAAATCGCAACGGAGGTGATTTCATTCATTGTAAAGTCGATCTCACAAGATCAAAGACAAGAAGATATGAAGAAACACTGAAACAACAATTATTACAACAAAAACGAACTATTTATACATTTAACATGGGATATACGAAGAAAAATGGGAATCGTGTTGAAATTCTTCATTTCCTTAACTTTTCAAAAATACTGTGATACAGCATTGAATTCCTTCAGTATAATTACACTGACAATGAAAGTATACAATTTTCGTTTATGGGATTCGTATCTTTCCAGTCAGGGGATGGAAAATTTAATTCAACATAAAAAAGGATACCAGATCTAAAATTGCCATGGAAAGAATCTTCCAGATTCCAGAGGTTGTGTCATAAATCATCTCACGCATCTCTTATAGAGACATAAATATAATACATTCCCTCATGATGAATCTCGTTATAAATCATTGTCCTTTAGAGCGAATTTTCTTCTTGGTCCCAAAAGTTTTTCTATACGCACAAATAATTCATGAAAACCCGATTTAAAAAACTCATTTTCAGGCTGAATCTCAGTACAACAAATTTGTGTCCTGTTTCTGTACATATAGGTCACATGCAGGAATTACAGTATTTGATAAATAGCATAAAAAGGAGAAACATTGAAATGGAAATGATGCAGCAATCCAACTTCACGAAAGCAGCAATCCAACTTCACGAAAGCAGCAAAACTTCCTGCAGAGAAAATTTAGCATATAAAAAAATACACACACTATATTTTTTGAGAATTCTTCAGCTCCATTTCAGAATGTATATGCCTTTCTTTCAAATAAATGATGCTTCAAAAATGATTTTCCTCTCTTTGAAATAACAGACAGGTATAAATGGATAAGTTGATCCAGAAGAAGCACAGTATTTCTCCCACATATACAAATATATTTCCATTTCTTTTCCAATAAGACATTTGGCATTCAATCAGGAGGGCAGGTTCAATAGAAGGAAACTCTTTACAGTATATTCAGAAATTTCCTCCTCACTTCATATCAGACAGGCTTAGTAACTATTGTATATGAAAGGTCTGGAATAAACAGTCTTAAAAGCACTTTACAGCATTTATAATCCAATATAACCAAATAATTTCAGTCTGATTAAACACAAGTTTTCATTATAGCAAATTTTTATCAGGTCCCTCTGGAGTTGGTTAGTGTAATAAGATTTTACTGTATTAATAGAGCTGCTCTTCATTTCATCAGAGAGACTTCAAAATCATGACACATCTTGAATTATTTCTTTTAAATAGAAGCAGCACTCTACAGCATTTATTGCCCATTTCTGTCTACAATGTGTTGAAAATGAGTATCAAACTACCAATACAACGAATTTATCTTCAGATCCCTGATGGAAATTCGTTGTAACGAGATTCTTTTTCTTGTACTGTAAAAATATTTTCTATTTAGCATGAAAAAAACTGCTGCAATAATCTTTTGTCGCGTAATTTGATATTTATTCTCAACAAAATGATTAACAGGGCACATGAAAAAAAATAAACTGCAGGAGACACATTAAATGAAGATATCATCAGGAACGTCCCAGGTAATCGTAACCAGGATCATACTCCTTCAGGTATGGCTCGATGAATGGCATGAGAAAGGGTATGTTTGCGTAAATTCCCGGGGAAACCCCTCCACAACTGATACCCCAGGCAACCAGACCCGTGAGCACGTAACGGATGTTTTCGGGTTCCCGGCCAAAGTAAGGCGAGGGACACACCAGTGGACTTCCTCCATCTCCCTGTGGAATACAAGTGAAGATGACAAGAAATCAATAAATTGTCAAACAATTTGAACTTTTGATTGACAGCATATTGTTATACAGGTTGTATCTTGCAATTCAACCCTAATCCTTTGCCAAATTAGGGTCAAATTGCAAAACTGTCAAATTGTGACTGCCCAATTTGACCTTAACCCATTGCAAAACTAGGGTCAAATTCCAAGATGGTCAAATTGATGGTCACATTGCAAAATGGTCAAATTTCAAAATGGTCAAATTTCAAAATGGTCAAATTGATGGTCAAATTTCAAAATGGTCAAATTGTAAAATGGTCAAATTGCAAAATGGTTAAATTGCAAAATGGTCATATTGCAAAATGGTCAAATTGATGGTCAAATTGCAAAATGGTCAAATTGATGGTCAAATTTCAAAATGGCCAAATTCCAAGATGGCCAAATTGCAAAATGGTCAAATTGATGGTCAAATTTCAAAATGGTCAAATTGATGGTCAAATTTCAAAATAGTCAAATTGATGGTCAAATTGCAAAATGGAAAAAATTTCAAAATGGTTAAATTGCAAGACTCTCTAGAAAATCAAGAAACAGCACAAAAACCCTAGAAAAAAGGCTGGAATAATAGGTCAAATTTTGAGAAAAGTGGTCAAATTGTGAGTCAACCTTGTCCAAGCAAATTCAACCATTGAATGGCAGTATATGGTCACATTGTGGGATGTCAAATTGCAAGGTACCACCTGTATGCTGATGCTTGTCAGTATTGACAAGGTTGAAAAATCCCCCTTCACCACACATTGTTTCACATATAACATAATTTACTAAACTTCTGTATGCTGGGCATTGAAAGAAAATAAATCACACAGTACAGGGAGACCCCAACATTCAGACAAGTTGACTTTGAGGCACTTGAAACTTTCAAAAGATCTCTTCCAAAATCTGGACAGTATTTTGAAGTGTGGAAACTTTTTCAACATATTGTTACAGATAAATGAGAATATTTTATTTTTCAGAATTGGTATATCCCTTGCTACTTCTTTTGGAGTATTTTCTATCATTTGTGCACAAAATTTAGAAAGAATAGCACAGTACTTTTACTTTGCTTTTTTGGGTCCTTTTCATTCCAACAATCAGATTAGGCATGGTTTTCTTCGGCATGACAAAATTCTGCATTTTAAAGTTGAGAAACACAATTTCTTAATTTCTCTCTGATTTCTTTCTAATTTTTGATGGTGTAAAGAACTGTAAAGAAGACTCCAGAGGCAGTCTGTTAGGCAAAAATATCTTAGACAGGAGGTCTGTTGTGCACTTGGACAGGGGGTTGACTGTACTTACACTTGGACACTTTTAAGAATATGAACAACTTTCCATTAAATAAGTCAATTTTGTTAATAGAGCAGCAGTATCATGCACCAAAGGGATACTGGAGGATATAAACATTCATGGCTTGGTTTTATCACAAGTACAGTCAACAAAGAAATTTTTGGATTCAACAATACCACAACTTTCATAACAAAGTTGGGAATTAACTGTAATTATAATTTTTCCTTTGCTTTTATAAATTTTGTACATTGTTTCCTCATCACTGTATCATGGCAACTAATGGAACATGAAACACTCCCTTTTCTTCAGTGGAAATCAAATAAAGCACACTTCTGTTGCAAAAGAAAATCTTGTTATGGCAAATTTTTTCTCAATCCCAGGAAATTCTCCATGGAGAAATTGAAATAGGCAGACTTTCTAAATCTAAGAACAAATTATAATTATGCCTTGTATAGTCACTGACAAATTTTGGCCCACAATGGACACTTATTTCAAAATATTGTTTTGAACCAATTTTATTAGGAGTCAATGTCCAAGCAAATTATCTTATTGCTTCAAGATACACCCAGGTACACCTCTACTGTTTTTTTTTATTTCCTGTGTCAATGAAATTATAATAATTCAGAACATATGCTTACTACAAGTGGATTCTGCACAATTTTCAATCAGGAATTGTGAATTCTCACTC